CGGGGTTTCACCATGTTGACCAGGATGGTCTCGATCTCTTGACCTTGTGATCCACCCGCCTCGGCCTCCCAAAGTGCTGGGATTACAGGCGTGAGCTACCGCGCCCGGCCCTATTTTTATTTTTTGAGACACGGTCTCACTCTGTGACCTAGGCTGGAGTGCAGTGGCACTATCATGGCTCACTTCAGCCTTGACCTCCTGGGCTCAAGTGATCCTCCCACCTTACTACACCAGGCCACAGGTCACAGGCAAATAAACTGATAAGATTTGACCTGAGAAGGAATAACAGTAGTAGCATGAATGCATTTTTGTCAGACTTGAGTCGGGGAAGGGAAGCGTTGACCTGGAGGGGTGATGCTAGGTACGGCAACTGGCAGGTGGGTGATTAAAGGCCCACTTACACTGCCACACACCTGTGGAGAGTCCTGCACAAACCACACTAGGCCTCTTATCATTAAATTGCCATCTTTTGCCATATCTCTTTTTCGCCTCAGAGAAGAAAAATATCCTGGCACTTGCCACGTTCAGTCCCCTTCATTTTTCAGAATGCTGATATTTCTGCTTGAGGAGTGCTTTACAGTAATTTTTAATTGGTTGTGTATTTCATAACCTGCACAGGCAAACTCAGGCATCGCCTGAGTTAGTGTTCCAACCTCACAGTTAGTGTTCCAACCTCGCACAACATTTCAGTACAGAATCTTTTTTTTTTTTTTTTTTTTTTTGAGATAGAGACAGGGTCTCCCTATGTTGCCCAGGCTGGTCTTGAACTCCTGGGCTCAAGGGATCCTCCTGCCTCAGCCTCTCAAAGTGCTAAGATTACAGGCATCAGCCACCAAGCCTTGCCTCAGTACAGAATCTTGAGTGTAATTATGGTTTTATAATGAACTTTGGTTTCATCAGACGAAGATTGAATTACAGTATTGCAACTTTTATTTATCCACAAGTGCATTACTTAATATTTGTTCTCATTACTACAGATTTTAAAAGCCTTTCAGCAAAAGGCTCTCATTTGCCTCTCACGTGATTGTTGCCAGGAAATGAGAAACCAAATTACATCCTGAATATTCCTTGCTGCCTTAACAGTAGATCTAAAACAATAACAGGCTCAAATTAAGATAGAAATAGAACTATGTGGTGGGGGGAGCTAACATTAGCAATATACACTGCTAATTTAGCACAGAACACTTATATAACCACCGTACTTTGTGCATCACATCTAAACATTTATTTAATAAGCAATTACCAGCTGGATGTGGTGGCTCACACCTGTAATCTCAGCACTTTGGGAGGCCGAGGTGGGTGGATCATTTAAGGTTAGGAGTTCAAGACCAGATGGTCAACATGGTGAAACTCAGTATTTACTAAAAATACAAATATTAGCTGGTCATGGTGGCCCACACCTGGAATCCCAGCTACTTTGGGAGGTTGAGGCAGGAGAGTAACTTGAACATGGGAGGTTGCAGTGAGCTGAGATTAAGGTACTGCACTCCAGCATGGGTGACAGAGTAAGACTCCGTCTAAAAAAAAAAAGCAGTTATTGAATACTTGGCATTTCTTTTACTTTCCCCCCGATTTATAGTTAAAAACTGTATTTGAATATTATGTAATCCTATATTCCAGGTGCTAGTTTAGACACTTTATATATCATCTCATTTTTACACTTTGGCTTCACATGTCTATTCTCCTCCTAACTGCCTCTTTTCCTTCTGTAGCTCACAGTTTGCTTCTGCCTTCTGCTTTTTTACTCTTGTCTCTATTATTTACTTTCCTCCCGTGATTTTTCTCTTTATTTCACCACTCTGTCCTTGGAAAACTTTTTCCATTTCTCCTGTGATTCCCACCCCTAACAGCCCCCATTCTTTTTCTCTTTGCCTGCTTATAGTGTATGTTGATTGATGTGAGGAAAGTCACAAATAGTTTTCCTTAAAAAAAATTTTTTTTTTGAGATGGAGTTTTGCTCTGTCGCCCAGGCTGGAAGGCAGTGGTGCAATCTTGTCTCACTGCAATCTTACCTCCCAGGTTCAAGCAATTCTCTTGCCTCAGCCTCCTGAGTAGCTGGGACTACTAGTGCATGCCAACACACCCAGCTAATTTTCATATTTTTAGTAGACACAGGGTTTCACCATATTGATCAGGCTGGTCTTGAACTCCTGGCCTTGTGA